CCTCCTTCCCTCTCTCCCTCTCTCTTTGTCTTCCTCTCTCTTCCTCTCCCTTTCTTTCTCTTTTTCTTCTTCTCTCCCTCTCATTCTCTTTCTCTTTCTCTTATTCTTTCTCCTTCTCTTTCCCTCTTTCTCTTTCTTTCTTTCTCCTCCTCTCTTCCTCTCTCTTTCTCTCCCCCCCCCTCTTTTTGGACAAGGAGCTGTTCAGATGAACCACAGTCAGTTTAGAAAAGCCAAGTTTTCTTTTTTCTTCTGACCCTCATAGCAGAAGCAGATTCTTCTGGTGCCCCATATTTCACTGTCTGTCGCCTCTTTGTGTTCTCTAGGTCCAGTACAACCTCTTAACCCCTCCCATCGTTTGGGCCAGCACAAGCCAGGAGGGCAGCCGGCCGGCCTGTTCCCCACTTTATCACGGCTTCAAGGAAGTGGAAGAAAACTGGGCCAAGCACTCTCCCTCTGGTAGGGAAGGGGGAAAACCTTAGGATTAGGCCCCTGAATCACCTTGGAGGTCTCTCTCCCCAGAGCCTGAAGGGCCTGAAGGGCAGGCAGGCAGCCGGGTCCCTTGGGATGCCCTCCCTTCCTTGAGACTCCTGGAGAACTCGGGGGGTAGAATTTAGCTCCCACCTAGCCCTTTGGGAGGGTGGAGTTCCTTGCCCAAGGTATCCAGGAAGGAGCAGTCTGGGCAGGTGTGTGTGTGTGTGTGTGTGTGTGCACACATTCCTTTTGGAAATTTAAAGCCTCTTTAACGCGGCTTCCTCTTTCTCAGACACTGCCCCCCAGCCGCGCTTCTACTGCATCCTCTCCCCGGAAGCATCGGAGGACGACTTGAACCGCCTCGATAGCACGGTAACACGACTCTTCCTTTAAAACTCTCGCTTTCCTCTCTTCTAGTCACACACACACAAATACACACACGCCCCATGCATTCTCCGGGAAAGGTTGGTCCCTGGAAAGGCTGCAAGGAGGTTGGCTAGTTCCAGAGGTGGGTCTTCAGCCGGTTCTGACCTGTTCTGGAGAACCGGTAGCCGGAAATTTTGAGTCGTTTGGAGAACCGGCCAATCCCGCCTCTGACTGGCCCCGCCAACCCCATATCTCTTCTCTGCCTCCCATCGAGTCCCAGCTGATTGGCTGGGTCTCCTTGGGTTGCCCTGCGCAGGAGAACAGAGCTGGAAAGCAGGTTAGTGGGGTGGGGAGGGAAGGGGGATTTTGCAGTATATCCTCCCCTGCCATGCCCACCAAGCCACGCCTACCAAACTGAGCCAAGCCCACAAGCCACGCCCACAGAACCAGTAGTACAAAAAATTTGAATACTACCACTGGCTGGTCCACACTGAGGATCTTCTTCGGGGAAAAGGGCGGTGGGTCCATCGCAGAGCAGATCGCACTCTCTAGAGCAGGGGTCACCAAACCCCTGTCTGTGGACCGGCACCGGGCCACAGCATGCCAGAAACCGATCCGCGCAAGCAAGCGAAGTCTCATCCGTGGGATGCAGACAGCACGTGAAACCACGGCCACCCTCCTCTGGCCTGTGGAAAAACCTCTGTCCGCGGAACTGGTCCCTGGCACCCAAAAGGCTGGGGGGGGGCGCAGCTCTAGCGTTTCCTAGGGGGAGATCAGATTAGGGAGGTGTGTGCAGTCCCTTGTGGTGCCAAATTTGGACCAGGTACCATGCGCTCGGCTGGGAAATTTTCCTGGACTGCCGCTCGAATTCATGCCTTTGCCTTCTCCTTCTCCTCCAGAATTCGGGCCTTTGATAACTGACATGTATTTATAATCGTCCCAGCCTTCTAGGGTCACCTGATCACAATTTGTAACCTTTCCAGCCAGCATTCAATCATCAAAGTCAATAGGAGAAGCTGGATTTGTTTAATAACCACACAATTCACTTAACAACCGCAGTGATTCTCTTAACAACTGGGGCCCAAAAGAACAACAACCTCTCAACAGCTACCTTTCTTAACAGTGGGAATTTTGGGCTCCGTTAGGTTTGTAAGCCGAGGTTGTTCAGCGCTTGCCACACGGCCAGGGTTTAATCCACGATATCTCTGCTTCCAGAGAGAGCGGTGCGGTGGCCTAGAGGTGGCGCTCTCGCCTCACAATCAGAAGGCTGTGGGTTTGATCCTAGGTAGAGGCAGATATTTCTCTCTCTGGGCACAGTGAGAATATATCTGCTGGACAAAACTCCACGCTGGGGACAGGAAAGGCATCCGGCCATTAAAACACTCTTCTAGCTCCATTCAATTGCCCAGACTCCCCCCTGAAGGAATTATGGGATGGTTAAAAGATGATGATGATGATCTCTGCTTCCAGAGGCCCCCACCTCCCCACCTCCACCCCAAGCTAGAGCTCTGTGTTTCTCTGGCAAGCTGCCTTTCCTTTTCTCCTCCCGGGACAGTCTGGTTTGTTCAGAGTTGAACGGAACCTGGGTCAGCAAAGGGGAAGAACAATGCCTGAGCAGCTCAGGAGGCGGCGCTTTCCTTTCAGGTGTGCGAGGTCTTGTTCTCCAAGGCCATGAAATACGACGAGCTCTACTCTGCCCTGGCCTCGCTGCTGGCTGCTGGCTCCCAGTTTGACACCCTCCGCCGGAAGGAGAACAAAAATGTCACCGCCTTGGTGAGGACGACAACTCCGTTGGGGGCCTCCTTGTGGGGCAGGGGAGCATCTCTGGCCTTGGGGCCCCAGTGTCGGAAGGACCGGCTGACCAGGTGGCTTGGCTTTGTCTCTGTCGAGCAGGAGGCCTGCGCGCTTCAGTACTACTTCCTGATCCTCTGGCGGGTCCTCGGCCTCCTTCCCCCGTCCAAGAGCTACATGAACCAGCTGGCCATGAACAGCCCGGAGATGCGGGAATGTGACATCCTCCACACCCTGCGCTGGTCGTCCCGCCTCCACATCCCCTCCTACGTCAACTGGATCAAGGTAAGTATTCCTCTGGGTGGGGCAGGGCGGGGCGGGGCGCGAAAATACTTGTGGTTCAGCCTATGCAAACGGCAGCGGAATCGGCCAGTGGGGAAGAAGAGGGACTAGTCCGGGAGTTTGGGGAGGATTCGGACGAGGGTCCTGCGTCGGATGCAGAGGTGGGGCCAGGACCATCTGGGAGTTGTGCGCTGATTCTGGAGCCTCCAGAGTCTGGCAGCAGCGAGGCAGAGGAGCAAAGGGAGCCTGTTCCCAGCGTGCATGTGCACAGAGCTGCTAGAAGGCAAGAACAGCTGAGACAAAAGGGGCGACTCGGGAGTAAGGCTGGGAGGTGATTGGCCCTCCCATAAGGTATAAAGGAAAGGAAGATGTGAAGAAACCTTTGCAGGAAGTTATTCGCTTGGTTGGTTTTTTATAGTTCATTTGTCATCCTAGTTGTTGGCAGCAATTCAAAGGAGAGAAAGGTGGGTGCTTATCTTGAGGGATTGTTTGGGACTCATTACCGGCTGGGAATGTACATAATTCCCAGCGTTGAAATAAAACAAGTTATTTGGACTAAGCGTGTGCTTAATTACAGTCTTAGCAAGCCTTGATCAGAACAATACCAGTAGTTTTTGACTTTACAACAGTTCGTTTAATGAAAAGGGACCCAGAGCCATTTTTCACCCTTATGACCATTGCCGCATCCCCACAGTCACGAGATTTACATGCTTTGGATGTGCTTCTCCACCAACTCACATTTACGACAGTGTCCTCTCCTTTTGCGACTGTCTTGACGAGCCAAGCCAACGTGGAAGGCAGATTCACTTCACAACCGCGCTTCTAATTTAGCAACCGCGGCAGTTCGCTTGACGAACGCTGCGAGCAAAGTTTCTACAAGTGGGGCAGGACTCGCTTAACAAATTTCTCCCTCGGCAACATGTAAATTCTGGGCTCAGTCGTGGTCCTAAGTCGAGGACTATCTGTATGTCCAGGTGTGGTAAAAAGGCTATATTGGTAAATCAAGTGACAGGCTGGGTTGAGATGATTTTTCTCCAGGTGGGACTCCCAGAGTGAGTTTTACCAGAACGTGGTTCCTGGCACCCCACCATTCTTCTTCCTTTCGGCCCATCTTCTCTTTTCATTTAAATCAGGGGTCGCCAACCTTTTGGACCTCAGGGACCACCAAACTCATCATTTTAAATCCCGCGGACCAGAGACCCTGGGAACACCCCCCCACCCCCAAAAAAGTCTGCAGGAAAATTTCCCACCCTGTTTTCTTACCGATTGGTTATTCTTTATTTGGGATCGCAGGATATTATCTCCAGCTCCGTTCTCAGGGAGACAGAGACAGAGAGAGACTTTTAGCTTCATGCAAGGAAAACAGCAGAAGCAGCAGAAGTCTTTCTTTCTCTCCCCCAAACTCCGCCAGAAATGAGTCTTTGTGAGACTTGTGCCGGTGCAGCCTCTTGGAGCAGGAGGCCTTGCAGGGTCCCAAAGACTCATTTCTGTTGGAGTTTGGGGGAGAGAAAGAAAGACTTTTGCTGCTTTCCTTGCGTGCAGCCAAAAGCAGAAGAAGAAAGAAGCAGCCTGGTGGCTAGGCAAGGTGTGTGGGGCAAGTCCCCCCCATTTCCCCCTCCCCGCACTACCTCCTGTTGTTCGCGGTGCAAGCAACGTAAGCCTTGTGTTCCCACGCAGCCTAGATTAATTGCTTTGGGGGAGACATTTCTCTGCGGACCACCAAAATTTTCTCATAGACCACCAGTGGTCCCTGGCCCATCAGTTGGTGAACGCTGATTTACATTTTTTTTTAAAAATCTACTTTTTCTTGGGACTTCCCCCTTAGGACCACCTCATCAAACAAGGGATGAAATCTGAGCACGCCTCTTCCCTGGTCGAGGTGACTTCGGGCAAATGCAGCTCTGTCAAGTACGACGTGGAGATCGCAGAGGAGTATTTCGCCAGGCAGGTGCGTTCAGGCCCCGGGAGTTGTGGAATAATAAGGCACTCGAATAACAACGTTTCCGCCTCCTTGTTTCTTTATTGACGGGGTGGCCTCGGCCATTGCCGGTAATACAACATTATGCCTTCCGATTTAGGTAGAAAAAGCAGGGTTTCATCTAAATAGAGCCATGGTGGTGCAGTGGTTAGAATGCAGGACTGTGGGACTAACTCACTGCTCATTCCAAGAATTTGATTCTGACCGGCTCAAGCCTGACTCAGCCTTACGTCCTTCTGAGGATGGTAAAATGTGGACCTAGATTGTTGGGAGCAAGAGGCTGACTCTCTAAACCGCTTAGAAAGGGCTGTAAAAGCAACTGTGAAGTGGTATATAAATCTAAGTGCTATTGCTATTTTCCTCCCTCCCTCCCAGTGGTTAGAATGTGGTATTGCAGGCAAACTCTGGCCACTGCCAGCAGTTCAATTCTGACCGGCTCAAGGCTGACTCAGCCTTCCATCCTTATGAGGTCAGTAAAATGAGGACCATATTGTTGGGAGCAAGAGGCTGACTCTGTAAACTGCTTGGACACAGGTGTAAAAGCAACTGTGAAGTGGTATATAAGTCTCAGGGCTATTGCTATTTTCCTTCCTTCCCTCCCTCCCAGTGGTTAAAATATGGTATTGCAGGCAAACTCACTCTGGTTACTGCCAGCAGTTCAATTCTGGGCTGTGGCTGTGCTGGCTGGGGAATTCTGGGAGTTGAAGTCGACCCCTCTTCAAGGTGCCAAGGTTGGGAAAACCCTGCTCTAAGAACTGAGTTGGAACAGAGCGAGGGCTCAAATCCCACCTTAGCCCCGAGGGGAACAATCCTGTCTTCTTCCCTCCTAAGATCTCCTCTTTCTGTGGGATTGACTGCACCACCATCCTCCAGCTGCACGAGATCCCCAGCTTGCAGTCCATCTACACCCTGGACGCGGCCATCTCCAAAGTCCAGGTCTCCCTGGACGAGCACTTCTCCAAGCTGGCTGCCGAAACTGACCCCCACAAGTCCTCGGAGATCACCAAGAACCTGCTGCCAGCTGCCTTGCAGCTGATCGATACCTACGCCACCTTCACCAGGTAGCTGGGACTCTCTTCACCCCTTCAGCCTGGCTGTGGCAGGAGGTGGTGGAGTCCCAACAGCTTCTCCCTCTCTCTCTCTCTCTCTCTCTCTCTCTCCGCAGATCTTACCTGCTTCAGAGCCTTTGTGAGGACAGCTCGGCCGAGACCAAACCCACCGAAGAGAAGCTGCAAGGATACGCGGCCGTACTGGCCATTGGCTCCAGTCGCTGCAAATCCAACACGCTGGGTAAGTCACTTTCTGGCTAAAGTCGTTCAGTTTTTAATTTTAAAAAAGGAGTATTAATTACATTTGCATGTGCTCCTCCTTCTTCATGACGCAAAAGGATTATTAAGCCAGAATAAGCAACAGATAGATCTCAACTTACCGCCACAACTGAGCCTGAAATGTATGCTGCTAAGTAAAAAAAAATCGTTAAGCGAATTTTGCTCCGTTTTACGACTTTCCTCGCCTTGCAGTGGTCCTAAAGGTAAGTGGGGTAAGATATCCCCCCCAAAATAAGACCTGGTTCTTATTTTGGGGCCCCAAAGAAAACAAGACTGGGTCTTATTTTGGGGGAAACACCGTAACTTAATCAACTGCAGCGATTCCCTTAACAAGAGTGGCAAGACAGGTCATAAAACGGGATGAAGCTCACTTAACAATTGCCTCGCTTAGCAACAGAAATTTTGGGGGCTCAGTTGCGGTCGTAAACCAGGGACCTACCTGTAACTGGGAAGTGGCAGCATATCTTAGCTTTAGCTGAGGGAAAGCCTTTCAGCTGAGCGGATTAGCTGGATCTGAGTTTGGCAGCCTGGGTGCCCTGCCGTTGGTTTGGTTTGCAGTCCAGCTTTGGTTCTGGGAAGGCAGCCACGGGCCCAGCTCTTGAGGGGAAAGGAAACAAGAGACCCCTTGGAGCAAGGGTCTCCAAACTTGGCAACTTTGAGACTGTTGTGGTTCGCCGGCAGCAGGTGAAGACGGCTGAGGCCTCGGAGAGTGAGGACTCAGGTGAGGGGCCTGTGTGTGATGCAGGGGTGGGGCCAGGACCATCAGGGAGTGGAGATGGTGGAGGCTGGCAGCAGTGAGAAAGAGGCCCCCCGAGGAGCCTGTGCTCAGTGCGCGTGCGCGCAGGGCTGCTCGAAGGAAAGGGCAGCTGCAGCAGCACGGGCGACTCGGGAGTAAGGCTGCAAGGTAATGGCCCCTCCCTGAAGAGGTAAAAGCCAGCTGAGAAACTGGAGTTCTTTGCAGGAAGCAAAGACGTTTTTGCACTCAAGCCTTGTGGATGTTTGGAATATCTTAAGTTTGTGTTTGGAAACTTTTTGTTTGAAATATTTCTTGGCAACTTTAGTGTTCTTGGCAGCCTTGCACAAGACTTGGCAAGGCCCGTTCTTATCAGAGACCATTAGTTTTAATAACCTTTTCATGGTGAATTAACGGAATTCGCAGAGAAGCATTAAAAGTTTTTGCTTTTATCTCTGTTTGGTGTTTGTTTCCTTGGAACAAGGTTTGGGTCGGAACAGGGACTTGTGGGTTTCAACTCCCATGGCTGGTTGAGGAATTCTGGGAGTTGAAGTCCACAAGTCTCAAAGTTGCCAAGGTTGGAGACCTCTGCCTTGGAGGGTCTCAGGATCGACGATCCCAATTGTGCTCAGTTGAGTGGCACTAAACCTCTTCAGCGTCCTGGTGGGTAGGAGCGAGCCATGCCCAACCTCTCTTGTCTCCTAGGTGTTGGTGTCCCATTTTTGTCTTGGGGGGTGGGTGTTTGTGTCCATTGGGGCTGGAATTGGCAGCGGGTCAAGCTCCGGCTTTCCTGACTGGCGGGTCTTTTGTTTTCTCGCTCGGCAGGGCCGGTTCTGATCCAGAATTTGCCGTCAGCTGTCCAGTCGCTGTGCGAATCCTGGAGCAGCATTCATACCAACGAATTCCCCAACATTGGGTCTTGGGTGAGTCTGCCTTTTAATAAGCCCTCTTTCGTCGGTGGGTGCAGGAGGAAGTGGTAGGTGGGCCTAGTCTACTTTTTCTCCCTCCTCTTCCTGGGCTGGTCTTGCCCTCCCATGGTGGACCATCTCGTTGGCTTCTTCTCTTCTGCCTTGCTGTCATTCGGCGGCTCAAATGTGTTTCTGTCTGGGAATTGGTCTCTTTTGTGCTTTTCTCTCCTGCTCTCTCGATGAAGCGGCCTCGGAGCTTCTTTCCAGCTGGGTGGCAGCTGGGAAGACTTGAAAAACGAGAACGTAAATTATAAATGATTACATTGTAAAGTATTTGCAATGAGACTATTACATTATGTTTAAAAAGGTGATGAATGGAAATTAAATTAAATTCCATGGCAACATTTGGCTAAATGGAAACAAAGAGGAAATGTGAAATGGTTATATGAATATATCTGGAAGAAATGTAAGATTCATTGTCGATTGAGGGAAATGCCATATGGATCCTGAATGGGGAAAAAGAGAAACACGTGCCTATAATCATTTAATAGTAAATAGGGAATTATTGTTGGAAGGTAATAATTAAGAATGATTATATTGATGTTAGTTTTATTTTATTTTTGTTTTTTGTTTGCTATACATTGGCTTCGAGAAAGTAAAAGAAGAAAATATGAAAAATAAAATAGGTGGTGAGCTGGAAATGAAAATAATAGAGGATAAAGAGTGGAAAATACATTTTAAGACGAAAATGTTTTTTGGTACTGGATTAATGAATGGAAAATAAGAAGTGAAAATTTATTAAAAGATGGAGTAGATAATGATTTGATACAAAACTAGATAAGAAAGCTGGAAACGTAACCGTGAATATATATGTATGTTGTAACCTGGAATCACGTTGCTCACTTGAAGAGACGTATAAAAAAATTTAAAACATTAAAAAAAAAAAGAAAAATGAGAACGTGACACCCTCCCCCCATCTGTCTTTACAGCGCAATGCCTTTGCCAATGACACCATCCCGGCCGAGAGCTACATCAGCGCCGTTCAGGCCGCCCACTTGGGCACCCTGTGCAGCCAGAGCCTCCCCTTGGCGGCCTCGCTGAAGCACACCCTCCTCTCCTTGGTCAGGCTCACTGGAGATCTTGTGGTGTAAGTCCTGGCCAGCTCCTTTCCCCACTCCCAGCCCCCGGAACCTTTGCTCCCGTGGGGGGTGGAAAAGGTGATGTTGCCAAGAGTCTTTCTCTCAGGAAACGTTTGCCTCTCCTCTCTGGCTCCAGCTGGTCCGATGACCTGAACCCGCCCCAGGTGATCCGCACGCTGCTGCCTCTCCTGCTGGAGACAAGCACCGAGAGCGTGGCCGAGGTGAGCAGCAATTCCCTGGAGAGGATGCTGGGCCCGGCAGAATCGGACGAGTTCCTCTCGCGGGTCTACGAGAAGCTGATCATGGGCTGCTACAACATTCTGGCCAACCACTCCGACCCAAACAGGTGAGCGCTTCCTTTGCTTTTCCCCCACTGTTCTGAACCAGCTCCCCAAACACGACAAACCCTCTGACGTGAATTCAAAAGATTCCATTATTAGGAATGCCGGCGGTCCCGGCAAAAAAGTTTTATCTTGCAGTCTAACAAGTCCAGGTGGCCAGAAGATGAATAAATTGTCTGCCACACCTGTTCCTCTCTGCCCCCTGCCTTTTCATCCCCAGAGCTAGGGTGGGGCTTCGCTAGCAGCGGTGGCTCTTCCAGCCCCAGGACCGGGCCATAGATTTCCACTGCTCTCCTCTCCTCTGCCTTCTGTGTATCTGCACGTCAGGCACTGGACCCAGCTGTTCCTCCTCTTCCTCATCAGCCACCTCCAGATCTGGGGGCTGTTGACTCTCCACCTGAGGGCTGACAGAAAGCCCAGGCTCCGCCTCCCTCTCTCTCTGTCTTTCTCTCTCTCTCTCTCTCTCTCTCTGCCAGCTCCATTTCCTTTCGGAGCTCCCAGGTTGCCCTGATGATGAGCCCGACTCCCACGCCTCCTCCTCCTCCTCTGATTCAGCTGCTGGAGGGGCCGGAGGCCGACAGACCACAACATCCACCTGAATGTCTGTGGAGATTTCTCACGTCAGGGCTCTGACAAATCCACCCCCATTCAAATCATAAGTCTCTAGCCACAGAGTAAAAAAAATTGATTTATTAGTAGTGACCATGTCGGTGTTACCTGGGTGCAGCCAACACTAAGATACGTCATTAATTTCCCCTTTGACCTCGGTCTTTCCCCCAATGGGACACACCCATAGCCAAGAGTCACCCATCGTGTTCTCCAGTAATAATCTTGCGTGCCAACAGCTTTGGCTACCTAGCAATTATCTGAAGCATTCCAGGAATGCACTGCTTTCCCCCACTTCCTTTCTGGTGGCAACTAACATGACCACAGAAGTACTTTTTAGTTGACCTCTCAGTACCCTCCTGGTCATAGTTGTCCCAAAGGTGCTTTTTTCAAGAGGCCGCTGCACTTTCTGGTTTCTCCTTGAAGACGTTTTGCTTCTCATCCAAGAAGCTTCATCCCTTCTTGGATGAGAACAAAATTTCCTCAGAGAAAAACCAGAAAGCTTCCCACCTGAAGCGACTTCAGATCAGGGTTATTCCAGCTCTCTGTTTACTCTCAACTTCCCGGAGAAGCGTTTCCCAAGAACAGCTCTCCCCTTTGTCTCTTAGTGGCCTCGACGAAGCCATCTTGGAGGAATGTCTGCAACATCTGGAGAAACAGCTGGAGAGCAGCCAGGCCCGGAAAGCCATGGAGGATTTCTTTGCGGAAAGGTGAGTTGCCGGCAGTCCTCGCGGTTACGACCACAATTTGAGCCCCCAAAATTTCTGCGGCTAAGGGTGAGACCTTTGATAAGTGAGCTTTGCCCTGTTTTATGGCCATTCTCACCTCCACTGTTACGTGAATCACAGCTGTCGATAAGTTAGTCACCCGGTCGTTAAAGTGAATCTGGCTTCCCCCTTTAATTTTGCTGATGATCTTGAGACACGTCATAAGTCTGAACCAACGGCCAAGCATGTGAATTTTGATCATGTGACCAAGGGGATGGTGCAAAAGTCATAACTGTGAAAAACAGTCATAAGTTGTTTTTTTAATACCGTTGTAACTTCGAATGTTCACTAAATGAACTGTTCTAAGTCGAGAACTGCCTGTTCTTCTTTTTCCTGCTTTATCAGCACTTCTGAAATGTTCCCAGCATTGGGGTTTTTTTTAATCACCGTCTTTATATAGTGCAGGCGTGTCCCAACCATGGCCACTTTAAGACCTGTGGACTTCAATTCCCAGAACCCCCCAGCCAGCATAGAATTCTGGGAGTTGAAGTCCACAAGTCTTAAAGTGGCCAAGTTTGGACACCTATGGCATAAGTGCATCTTTTAAATGGATTTATTCCACTTTGGGGGCAGTTTAGAAATTATAGTAGCTTGAGGATACAATATTGAGCTAAAAGACTGGGGAAAAATTTGGAACAAAAACTATACATTAACAAAATCTGCTGCATATATTACCTTGTAAGCGATTGACAAATCAAATAAATAAATAAAATAAACATAAAGAAAACCAATATAAGATGTTTTATTGTTGGCATTTAGCCCCAATAAGACTTGCAAAAATGTATCCAAATTTAAACCCTAATTGTTAGATATGTAAATAGGTGCAAGGTACCTTTTTCCATGTATGGTGTCTTTGCCCAGAAATTAAAAAATACTGGATCAAAATACAAAAGTGGTTCATTGAAATTGCACATTGCTGAATAGAACTGAAACCAGAATTGTTTCTATTGGGGATTATTAAGGGAAAGTACCCTAAAAAAGATTAAATATTTGATTTTACACATCCCCCACAGCAGCGAGAATGGCACTCGCGCCATCTTGGGAAATGGCCACTATACACCGGCCAATTGTTTAGCGATCCAAAAACTTTTCAATCGTGCAGAAATGGACAAACTCACTCTAGAATTAAACAGTGAAGGAGACTCAGAATATTACTCAATTTGGGATAACTGGTATCGATGGATAGATAGTAGGAATATGAAATGTATAGATCAGAGCGAGATACAAATGTTTATATGTATATGATTAATTAGAAATGTACGAAAACGTATGTAGATTTTTAGTACTGTCAAAGAATGATGGAGAATTGTACAAACTTATTTTTTTTAGATTTATTTGTATTTTAATGTTTCAATTTTCAATAAAGGTTTTAATATTTTTTTTAAAAAAAGAAATTATAGTAGCTTGGGTCCCACCTGCCCACTTCAGGACCTGCTCCTGTTGCTCCTCCCCTCTGGGAGAAGGTTCCAGAATATTTCCAGCAGGATTTCTCGATTCTGCAATGGCTTCATTCCCTGAGCCCTCCGTCTGGCAAAGTTGCAAGATTCGTTTTTATGCCTCTGAACTAGGCTGTGTTGTTTCTCTACGACATAGAATATAAATGGCTATGCGGGTATATGCATAATATTTATTGATTTGTTGATTTAGTCGTGTTTATGTAGCGTATATTGTAGGTGGTGACCCTTTGAGAGCTGTAGGCGAGGAAATTTCATTTTAATGTATGCCGCTCAGAGTACATTCAAAGTGGCAATGAAGTTATTCTAAGTCTCTTAAGGGATGGGCACCCCAGGAAAGGGGAAATCCTGTCTTTGAACCCCCATCTTCACGAGTGACAGGGCAGGTAGCCGGAGAAGGCGGATATCTCAAGGCCAGAACCCCTTCTCATGTCTTCTTTGCCTCCGGGTGTTTCCTCCCATCCAGTGGAGAGCTGGTCCAGATCATGATGGCGACCGCCAACGAGAACCTCTCGGCCAAGTTCTGCAACCGGGTTCTGAAATTCTTCACCAAGCTCTTCCAGCTAAGTGAGTGCTAGATACCCATAAGGCAGGGGTGTCAAACTCAAATTTTATTGAGGGCAGCATCAGGGCTGTGATTGACATGGGGGGAGGGGCGACATTGGTGGGTGTGGCCAACTGGGTGGGCATGGCCCGCTTGACGCCACTCCCCAAACTGCTGGCATGTTTCCTCTTTGCACTGAGTAGACCATGCTGGCCCAATGTTTCCCCTTTGCATTGGATAGACTGGGCTAAAGCCAGGTGGGCCGGCACCTTACACTTTCTCAGACAGCCCTGCGGGTCGGATCTGACCACATTGCAGGCCGGATCCGTCCCGCAGGCCTTGTGTTTGACATTCCTGGCATAAAGGGTTCCTCTTGGCAGGGGAACAGGGTGTCAGCGGCTAAATAAACAGCCCCTGGCAGATTTGCACTGTCCTTTGTATGGCAAAGCTTTGGGCCCATGTAGGAAATGATCTTCTCCCTCCAAAAATACAGGAGGTGGGTTTTTAAAAAATATATATAAACTGACTTTGGTCTTTCCTGAACCTCGGCCTTTGAGACAGCCTCAGAAGCCGCTCTCTAGCAATGTCTGACTCTCCCCCCCTCTCTCCCCCGTTTAGCTGAGAAGAGCCCCAACCCCAGCCTTCTGCGCTTGTGTGGCTCCTTGGCGCAGCTGGCGTGTGTGGAGCCTGCCCGCCTCCAGGCCTGGCTGACCCGTATGACCACCTCTCCCCCGAAGGAGTCGGACCAGCTGGAGATGGTGCAGGAGAACAGGCAGCTGCTCCAACTCCTGACCACCTACATCGTGCGGGAGAACAGGTGTGAATGGGCCCAGGCTCCCCGGGAGCTCCAAGTTTAGTTTAGTTTAGCTTTGCTTCACTTTGCTTCGCTTCGTTTCATTTCGTTTAGTTTATTGTCATTGCACCTCGTACGGCGGAATTAAATACCATCTTCAGTGTACATTATGACTTTGAAAATAAACACATCCTTCACGTTCTGTATATTGAATTGAAAACCCTTGATATTGCAAGGGGGATGGTGTTGTGGCCTGTCGGCTGCTTGCCCCTCCAGCAGCCGAATTAGAGGAGGAGGAAACGTGGGAGTCAGGGACGGCATCAGGGCAACCTGAGAGCCCCGAGGGGGAAGAGGGAGTGGAGCTGGCAGAGAGAGAGAGAGAGAGAGAGAGAGGCGGAGCCTGGGCCATCCGTCAGCCCTCAGATGAAGAGTTAACAGCCCCCAGGTCTGGAGGAGGCTGATGAGGAAGAGGAGGAACAGCTGGGTCCAGTGCCTGATGCACAGATGAGCAGAAGGCAGAGGAGAGGAGAGCAGTGGAAATCTATGGGCCGGTCCTTGGGACGGAAGAGCCAACACTGCTAGCGAAGCCCCATCCTAGCTCTGGGTATAAAAGGCAGGGGGCGGAGATGAATAGATTGTGGTAGACAACTACGCATCTCCCTGCCGGACAGACTCATTAGCCTGCGGTGAGAAAGAAGCTTTGCCAGGGCTGCTGACACTCCTAATCAAAGGAATCTTTGAGTTCACGTCAGAGGGTTTGTTGTGTTTGGGGAGCTGGGCCAGAACAGTTGGGACTGCAGAGCCCACCCTTGCTTAGTTGGGATGCCACCGTTAAAACGTGCCCCCTGGGCCGCTCCGTGAGGTGTCTTACCCTCCTTTTCCCCACTCCAGCCAAGTCGGCGAGGGAGCCTGCACCGTCCTCCTGAGCACCCTCATTCCCATGGCCACCGAGATGCTGGCAAACGGAGATGGGACTGGCTTCCCAGAGCTTATGGTGGTCATGGCGACCCTGGCCGGGGCCGGACAAGGCGCCGGTCACCTCCAGCTGCACAGCGCAGCGCTGGACTGGCTGGGGAGATGGTAAGAGGTGCCGGGAGAGCGGCTGACCAGAACGTGGCTGCCCTACTGATGTTACTTGAGTGAGGGGAGGCAGCTGGATGGGGGGTGGGTGGGCTTTCTCCCAGCTGGGAACTCTGCCCGAGGGAGAGGAGGGGTCTTGTGGTGCTCCAGCTCCTCAGAAGGGACAGTTCCTTGGGGAAAGTCCCAGTTCAGGCCCTGGGGCTTCCGGTGTGGGATGGAGCCTCGTTCCCCCTTCAAGCCTTTTTTCTCTCCTTTCTCAGCAAGAAATATCTGTCTCAGAAGAACGTGATTGAGAAAATGAACGCCAGCGTCATGCACGGCAAGGTAAGGCTCCTCTAGACCAGGGGTCGCCAACCTTTTGGACCTCAGGGACCTCCAAACCCATAATCTTAAATCTCTCTCTCATATCTCTCTCTCTTCCCCCCTGTCTGTGGGGGTCGGGGGGAAAGGAACTTCTGAACTGGTGCTCGATGGTGAGAATCGGATGCCCGGAGGCCGACGAGCCACGTGCTGAAGACCAGGTCGCTGGCACGGAGGTGGGGCAGCGGGTGATACCGGCGGCGGATGGACTGATGCACGCAAGAGATCGTGGCATCGGAGCCCTTCCCGGGAGATCCTTGGCCTGCGACGGGGGTGTGGGGGGGGAGGAACCTCTGAACTGGTGTTGCCTCCTGCCTCCCTCGCTGGCAGCCGCCAAGCCGCCGCCTCCCCGCTGGGCCTGTGAGCGCTTCTAGCAAGGAGGAAGCACTCGGCAGCTGCCAGAGGGGCGGCGAGCGCTTTGCCGCTCCTGGAGAGGAGGGTTCGAGTCTCCCCTTTGCAGCACCTTCACCTGAGGGCATCGCTGGCACCCGCTCGGCCTCCTCGGTGCGCCTAGGCAGCACACAACATCAGTTCAGAGGTTCCTTTCCTCCCCACCCCGTCGCAGGCCAGGGGACACCCGGGAAGGGCTCTGATGCTGCGATTTCCTGCGCACCACCCTCCCTACCCACGAGCATCAGTCCATCCGCCACCGGTATTGTTGCAGACATGGGTGCACTGCAGACCACCACAGTTTTCTCATGGACCACCAGTGGTCCACGGACCACAAGTTGGCCACCTCTGCTCTAGAAGGCAACATCTTGGCAAGTGATCTTGTCACGCCCCTGTTGGAGACTGACTCCGAGGAAGAGGAGGAAGAGCCGACAGGGAGTGGGAGTGTGGCTCTGGAGGTGGTGGAGGAGGCTGGGGAGGGGCAGAGGCCGGCTGGGCAGACCCAGGAAGACCCAGGCCCATCCCCTCTTCATCCTAGGACACACAGGGAGGAGAGGATAAGGGAGAGATGGGAATGGCGTGGTCTACGGGGAAGGAAAGGGCCTTGATCCCCTTCATGGGCTGCAGCTGTGAGAACTGGTTAAAAGGACAGACATGCGTATGAACCAATGCCGGAAACAAAGCATGGAAATATCTCTAGTCTGTCGTTCCTCTCCGAGTTTGGTTTCCTTCCCAGTGTGTGTTCTGATATCTGTGGACGTCTTCAAGCGCTTATCTTGCCTGGTTCCCTTAATTGCTTCAGTGTGGTTTGTGTTGTTTTTACTCTTTATAATTTATAGGCGTTTTTAGTTTAACCGGCATTTCCTCCTTCTTGTAACTGTTCGTGGGGGAGTTTTTTGTCTCCAGTCAAGGATATTTGGAGCTTTGAAGCAAAGGGAAGGAATAAAAGGGGGCTTCACCTGTTTTGTATCCCACCCTGGGTCATCACAGATCTTTGTATCACCCAGTCTAGTTTCTTTTTCAAAGGATGGGCTTGGCTTTCCGACTGTCCTCAGGCAACATTTACAGGTAGTCCTCGACTTAACAACCATTCATTTAGTGACAGTTCAAACGTTACAACGCCACTGAAAAAGTAACTCAGGGCTGTTTTTCGCACTTAGGCGAAAAACATGCCGCATCCCCGCGGCCATGGGATCAAAATTCGGACCCTGGACAACTTGACTTGTATTTGTGACGAGTCCCAGGGTCACGTGATCCCCTTTTGACTTCTGACGAGCAAAGTCAACGGGGAAGCCGGATTCACTTAACAAACAGGTTGCTGACTTAACTGCAGTGATTCACTTAACAACTGTGATAATGAAGGCCATAAAATGGGGGCAAAACTCACTTAGCCACTGTCTCGCTTTACAGCAGAAATTTGGTCCTAAGTCGAGTGGTGCGGTGGCCTAGAGGTGGAGCTCTCGCCTCACAATCAGGAGGTTGTGAGTTCGATCCTAGGTAGAGGCAGATATTTTTCTCTCTGGGCACAGTGAGAATATTATCTACTCCACACTTATAACAGGAAGGGCATCCGGCCAGTAAACACTCTGCTCCATTCAGTTGCCACTCAAATTTGGGGGTCCATTATGGAATGGAAATGAGTAGTGCAGTGGCCTAGAGGTGTGGAGCTTTCGCCTCACAATCAAGAGGCTGTGAGTTCGATCCTAGGTAGAGGCCGATATTTTTCTCTCTGAGCACAATCAGAATATTATCTGCTGAACAAAACTCCTCATTGGCGACAGGAAGGGAATCTGGCCAGTAAACACTTAGCTCCATTCAGTTGCCCAAGACTCCACCCTGGAAGGGATTATGGGATCGTTAAAAGAAGATGATTGTGATCCTAAATCAAGGACGTAACCTAAACTCCCCTTGCCTGCCTGCTGGTCTTTCTGCGTTTGTTAGGAAAGGCAGGTAAAATCCCTTCCCTTCTCTTGCAGCACGTGACCATCCTGGAGTGCACCTGCCACATCGTCTCCTACCTGGCTGACGTCACCAACGCCCTGAGCCAGAGCAACAGCCAGGGCACCTGCCACCTCTCGGTTGACGGAGAAGAGCGGGCCATCGAAGTGGACTCTGACTGGGTGGAGGAACTGGCTGTGGAGGAGGAAGACTCGCAGGCCGAAGACTCGGTAAGCGGGACAGGAAACCCAGCAAGCTGGACCGTTAAGTATCTTTTATTGTTTAGGAATACAGAATACAAAAATGCCAAAGAAAATAGCAGGAACGATAGGGAAGAGTGTAGAAAAAAGAAAGAAAGGGCATTGGCTTCCTTTCCCTTCGGGGCAGTAGAATAAGAGAGTCAAAGGTCAACTTTTTATTTTTACGTAATAATATAAACCAGCCATTTTTATAATAACAAATCTATCTCATCGGTTAAAACCCAAAATCAAAGTTTCACCCCCACCCCACCTCCAGCAGCGGTTTCCAATCAGCAGCAAAAGTAAATTCTGTCCTTTTCTTCAATCCAAGCCATCAGTTTAGCCACCTCTGCCAACTCCATCAGCTTTCGCAGCCCTTCGACCGTTTTGGGAATCAAAGCGTCCTTCCATTTTTGGGCGTAAAGTAATCTTGCGGCCCTCAACATGTACAGCAACAAAGTTCCAAATGTTTTTTCCAAGTCTTTTTCCATTAAACCCAAGAAAAAAACGCTTCTGGTTTTTGTCTTTATGAATCACTTTGACAATCTTCTGCATCAGGATGTGCACCCTACTCCAATATTTCTTGGCTTTGTCCCATGTCCACCGTAAGCGATAAAAGGTCTCCTCTTTACTTCTGCATTTCTAGCGTCCACTATATTTATTTCTGACTTAGCTGCAGGGATTCATTTAGTAACGGTGGCAAGGAAGGTCATAAAATGGGGCCAACTCACTCACAAATGTCTCACTTAACAGCAGAAAGGGTACCAGTTGTGAGTAGTAGGTGTTGAAGGAAGCCACCCTGGGCAAGTCTTACGAAAGCTGTTTCCTTCTGTGCACCATACAGGACGAAGACTCCCTCTGCAACAAACTTTGTACCTTTACCATCACGCAGAAGGAATTCATGAACCAGCACTGGTGAGCTTCCCCTGCTGCCTAAACCGGGGGTCCCCAGCCCTGCGGTCCATGGCATGCCAGAAACCGGCCCGCACAAACAAGCCAAGCCCCATCCGTGGGAGGCTGGCTGCATGCCAAAGCACGCTCCCTCCCTCCAGCCGGCGGAAAAATTTCCCTCCGTCGGTGGAAAAACTAGTCCCTGATGCCCCAAAAATGATGGGGGCTGCTGGTCTAACCGACCCAGGTGTGTCTTTTTGTCTGCTTTATCACAAAGCACTCATTTATCATTTCCCCCCCCCCATCCCCGGCCTGCTCTCTGTTCCTACCTTGGCAGGTATCACTGCCACACCTGTAAGATGGTTGACGGTGTTGGTGTGTGCACCGTCTGTGCCAAGGTTTGCCACAAGGACCACGAGATTTCATACGCGAAATACGGATCGTTCTTTTGTGACTGCGGAGCCAAGGAAGACGGCAGCTGCCTGGTAGGTTCTAGGTCTGAAATCCAGATGATAACGGGGTGGGTGGGACAGGAGCTCTGGACAAGGCCGGTTGGGGTTATCCCGCTTCCTGCCAAACGGCCGAGCTCCCTGCACAGTGTTTGTCCCCCTCCAGGCCCTAGGGACGCGGTGGCTCAGTGGCTACGACGCTGAGCTTGTCGAACGAGTTCGAGTCCCTAGCGCCACGTAACGGAGTGAGCTCCCATCCCTTGTCTCAGTTTCTGCCAACCTAGCAGTTCGAAAGCATGTAAAAAAATGCAAGTAGAAAAATAAGAACCAAGTTGGATACAAGAAATAGTGGAAGATCAGATAAGAGTTTAAACTGGAGTTGTTCTTGTCGGGAGTAATTAAAGGGAAATATAGGAAAAAGATTAAACATATTTTACTACATAAATTGACAGGAACAAGGATAGCATTCACACAATGCTGGAAACATAATACACCCTCAGAGGAATTAGTAATTCAAAATTTTTTAGATTGTGCTGAAATGGATAAACTGACGTTAAAAGATAAAGAAGAGTCGGAGCATTACAAAATTTGGATGATTGGTATAAATGGTTGAACAATAGAAATAAGGATAACGGAGAGAAGAAAATTATAGATAAATGTACATGAATGTATATAAATGTAGATATTTATATGAGATTGGTTTATATCATAATGGCACAGTACTGTTAATATTAAAGTTAAGATGTGTAAAAGGTGAAAAAGGACAATAAAAATTATTGGGGGAAAAGAAAAGAAAAATAGGGACCCCTTTGGTGGGAAGATAAGAGCATTCCGTGCGCCTTCGGCCTTTAGTCCTGCCGGCCACATGACCACGGAGACGTCTTTGGACAGCGCTGGCTCTTCTTCGGCTTTGCAACAGAGATGAGCAGCGCCCCCTAGAGCCGGAAACGACTATCACGGATGTGCCAGGGGAACCTTTTACCTTTACCTTTTAGGCCCTGGTGAAGAGGACCCCCAGCAGTGGCATGAGCTCCACCATGAAGGAGTCGGCCTTCCAAAGCGAGCCTCGCGTCTCAGAGAGTGTCCGCCATTCCAGCACCTCGCCCACCGACAAAACCAAGTCCTCCGCCAGCGATGGCCGAGGGGGTGACGAAGACAAGCCCAAGAAGAGCAACCTCTGCAGGAACGTGGAAGGATGTCGGGAGCAGCTGCAGGCCCAGGTTTGGCACCATGCGGGTGAGGGAGGCCATCGGGGCGCCAGGGACCTCCCCCTAGTGAGGGGAAGGCTTCTCAGCCCCTCCCTCTCCTTGCCTCCCCCCAAGGCCAACTTCTCCTTTGCCTCTTTGGTCCTCGACCTGCTCAACTTCCTGATGGAGGCCATCCAGATCAACTTCCAGCAAGCCTCGGCGATGGGCAGCAGCAGCCGCGCCCAGCAGGCGCTCAACCAGCTGCATACTTTGGACAAGACGGTTGAAATGACTGACCAGCTGATGGTGAGGAGAGCGGCAAGACCCCAGCACAGGTTGGGAGAGCGGGGGGCGGGGTCAGGTTCAAAGGGGCAGCTTCCAGAAAAAGCCCCCCCCTCAACTCCTAAAACATTCCTATGCCTGTTTTAGTAGTTGCCATAAGAAAAGGGAGCGGGGGCGGGGGGGAGAGGCTGGAAATCTGGAAAAGTAATGCAGCAGTTTGAAATTGAAAGTACATTCCAACTCTTCATCTTTAAAAGGTTGTAACTAAGCTACCAGAGCTTTTGCCCGCAAATATATTTAATTGGAGAACATGAATGGGGATACAGCCCGTGAAGGTGCTCAGTTGGAGAATCTGACTGATGACACACCCAGGTGGGAGGCGGGGAAACAGGGTCACAGGGGACTGTAAATGATGTAGGCCAGAGTTGGCTTCATACGGGGCAGGGCCAGTATGTCGCCTCTAATGAATCCTTTGAAGGTTTTTGAAGTTTGGCTCGAGAATCAGGATTTAGTTAGGGCGATTGCTGGAATCCTGACAACAAGCCAACTCTGGTGTATATAATTTACAGTCACCTGTGACCTTGTTTCCCCCCTTCATGCCGTCCTTCAGAGCCAGGCCTCTCGTCTCGACTCAGATCCTGGCAGTGGCATCCTTCAGAAGTCAATGTTCCAGGCTAATGTCGTCCCATAAGATTCCAGGTTAATATTCCAGGCTGTGTCCCTTTCCTGCTTTGCCCTGCCCTCCAGGTGCCGACTCTGGGCTCCCAGGAAGGCGCCTTTGAGAACGTCCGGATGAACTACAGCGGGGACCAAGGCCAGACAATCCGGCAGCTGATCAGCGCCCACGTCCTGCGGCGGGTGGCCATGTGCGTGCTTTCCTCGCCTCACGGACGGCGCCAACACCTGGCTGTCAGCCACGAAAAGGGCAAGGTGAGATATGGAGAAGGATCTGCCCCCCCAGAAGCAGGAGAAGGACCTCTGTAGAATCTAAAACCTCTGGCGATTTCCCGCATAGAAGGTCAAATAGATTTCTGATTCAGTAGTTTAACCCAGAGGGGGCTATTAACCAGTGCCAAGTCCGTAATAGCAATAGCACTTAGACTTGGATGGAAGGCTGAGTCAACCTTGAGCCAGTCAGGATCAAATTGCTGGCTATGGAGCAGAGTTAGCTTTTGCAATACTGCATTCTAACCACTGGGAGGGAGGGAGGAAGGAAGAGGGAGGGAGGGAGGGAAGGAAGGAAAGGAAGGAAGGAAGGAAGGAAGGAATAGACTGCTTCATAGGGCTTTACAGTCCTCTCCAAGAAGACCAACAATCTTGATCCTCATTTTACCCCCCTCGGAAGGCCGAGAGACTGAGTCAACCTTGAGCCAGTCGGTCAGGATCAAACTGCTGGCATTGGGCAGAGTTAGCTTACAATATTATATTCTAATCACTGGGAAGGAAGGAAGGAAGGAGGGAGGGAGGGAGGGAAGGAGGGAGGGAGGGGAAGGAAGGAAGGAAGGAAGGAAGGAATAGCCCTTAGACTGACATACCGCTTTACATGGCTTAACAGCCCTCATTAAAGCAGTTTACAGAATCCAGCCTCTTGCTCCCAACAACCTGGGTCCTCATTTTACCCCCTCAGAAGGCTGAGTCCATCTTGAGCCTGGTGAGAACTGCCAAATTGCAGGCAGTCAGCAGAAGTAGCCTGCAGGACTGCACTCTAACCACTTGGGCCCACGAGGCTCGTAAAATACAGAACGGCGACGAAAAATGTCCACTTGGTGGCCATCGACGTGAGCCGAGCACCTCCTGCACGAATCTTCTGTTCTTTTGCAGCTGGGAGGCAGAGGTCCCTGCAGGCCTCTTGGCTGGAAAGCCGGATTCGGGGGAGCTTTGGTTTTAATTTTTCTCCCCATTCCTTTTCTTGGGCTGGAGTGATTCTCTGCCACCTTGTCTGTGTCCTTGTTGCCCTCGCGCAGATCACCGTGCTGCAGCTGTCCGCGCTGCTGAAGCAAGCCGATTCCAGCAAGCGGAAGTTGACGCTGACCCGCCTGGCCTCCGCGCCCGTCCCCTTCACGGTGCTGAGCCTGACGGGGAACCCCTGCAAGGAGGACTACCTGGCTGTGTGCGGGCTGAAGGTAGAGAGAGAGAGAATGACACGGCAGGGGGGTGGCCCTCCGCTTCTCGGCAAGGAGGGTGGGTGGGTGGGTGGCTGACTGTGGAAGAGAGATTGCCTTCCTTTGTACAGCTAGTCCTCGACTTAACAACGGCTTGTTCAGTGACCATTTGAAATTACCGCAGCACTGAAAAGTGTGACTTATGACCATGTTTCACACAATTAGACTGTCGTAGCATCTCTGTGGTCACGTGATCAACCTTGGGAAGCTTGGTGACTGGTTCAGATTTACGACGCTCGCCGTGTCCCTGGGTCGTGCAACTCCCCTTTTGCGACCTTCCGTCAAGCCAAGCCAACCGGGAAGGCAGATTCCGTTAACAAACCTTATTCCTTAACTTAACAGCTGCAGTGATTCCCTTGAAGATTGGGGCAAGGAAGATGGTTAAATGGGGCAAAGCTCACTTAACAACTGTCTCGCTTTGCAGTGGAAATTTGGGGTTCAGTGGCCGTTGTAAGTTGAGGACTATCTGTAGCCCAGGGGTCTCCAAACTTGGCAACTTTAAGACTTGTGGACTTCAACTCCCAGAATTCTCTAGCCACCTATGCTTAAAGTCTTAAAGTTGCCAAGTTTGGAGACCTGCTGTGGCCCTTTGCCGCCTCTTCCAGTGGGGGCTTGGTGAGGACACAGTTTGGATTTCACCGGCTGGCATCCATCTGCTGAGCATTTGTCTCTCTCCCAAACCCAACTTGGATTCACACATTGCCTCCTCCCTCCACACTGGTGATGTTAAGCCAAAGCGTTGCAGGGTTATAAGCTGCGTGTCAGACCTGCCCCAATCTGATCTCTCAGGAAAGAAAAACCCTCGGCTCCGTTTGGTGAAAGCAAAGGGTTCTTTTACGAAGGGTTTTGGTTGCAGTAAAGGCAAGCCAGCTCTCAAGCCAGCTCCCACACTCGCTAGATACAAAAATAAGGTTTGCCCCGCAGCCCATCCTCCCCACCCCACCTCCCATGACCAGTCCTTTCCCAGACAACTGGAGTTTGCCAATATATTTTGAGAACTTTTGAGGTGTGGTGGGGTAATCCGCAGGTTTCTCAGGGTGCCTGGTCTTGGGATGCTGGTACGAACAGGATCCGATTGCTCTGGTCCTTCTCAGCTGTCATTCCCCCTTCCTGCTTTCCTATCACATACGCACAAAGCATTTTTATGCTTTCTTCCTCTGTTGAGGTAATTCCCCGTTAGGAGAATGAGCGCATACAGGGAGACATATTTGAGAGTAGTGTTGGAATAATACACACAGAGCGCACAGATACACTGTACAGTAAATGTAGGTTTTTACTTCCATAAAGGTTTAAGCAAAGTCCAAAATAAGCAATCCAAAAGTCATTCACAGGTAAATCAGACAGTTTTTCAATCCAGGGATAATCCAAATATCAAATTCCAGTGTCAAAAACAGTAACAGACTTAAATCCAGTAATATCAGTCAATTAGAAGAAATGGAGCAACGGCAATACTTTCCAACAGAAGGAAACAGAGATACACTCAGACTCTCTTCTGAGACTAAGACTAAACAACCCAGGTTTCTGGCTCCATCTTATGGCCATTTGAGAAACCACACCCAATTGCATGTTCTTGCATTCCCTTAAAGGTATAGTACTAAAATGTTTATCCTGGTTTGTATATTTCTAACCCAAATACCTGTTAGGTGACTCATATTCCTAACATCCTCCCCCCACCTTCTCTTTATGGCAGGATGCCTGTTAAGCCCCCCAAGCCGAACCAGGCAGATCTGATGCTATGGTTCGTGGTCACAATGGTGCGCTCAACCAAACATATCAAACCAAACTTTGTCAGTCTCTCCCCCTCTCTCTCCTGCTTGTCTGTACGTGTGCCTCTGTTAAACTCCCCTCTCTTGCCCCTTCCAGGACTGCCACGTCCTCACATTCAGCAGTTCGGGCTCCGTCTCAGATCACTTGGTGCTCCACCCTCAGCTTGCCACGGGCAACTTCATCATCAAGGCTGTCTGGCTTCCGGGATCCCAGACGGAACTGGCCATTGTAACTGCTGACTTCGTCAAGGTAGGGTCAAGTGGAGGCTGACTAGATTCCTCCTGTCCCTCTCTCTCTCTCTCTGCTCTGATATCAGTCAGACCTGCCTCGATTCAACCCCTGAAGAAAGAGAGACCCTTGACTCCCTTCGGATGAAGTGAAAGGCTCTTTTACTCAAAGACGCTGGTAGCGGTCAAGTCAGGCTAGAACTAAATCTCCCGCGTGAAAGCATGCAGGCTTTCCCTGTCAATCCATCCCTCCCCCCTTGGGCGGTCCAACGCCATCCAATAGGCAGAGGTCTAGTTTGGGGAACATCTGGTGTTTGGAGCAATCAACATCCCATTCCCAGCTTCTCCGGCCTCTTGGTGTTTGGCACAAGCTGGTTCAAACCATCTCTGGTCTTCCGTAACTGTTCTTCCCTCCTCCCTATTTTCCAACGCTATCCTAGCACATGTTTATTGTCCATTTTCCCCTTGCTATTGATGGCAGGATGCTGATGAGGGCTGAAGATGCCAGAACCCTCTTTGGTGGCCAGGCAGCGTTCTGACCTAGGCACGAAACCACAACAGCACGAAAGTCCTCGTCCCGATAAACCAAACCCCTTTTATGTGATTTACAATGAATTTCCTCTCCAACAAAGTCCTGGCCAGCAATCTTTCACAATAGTTCCCAATTACAAACCTTTATCAGGCTTGGAGAGGGGCCAGGCCGATATCTTTCAGACACAGCAATACTTGGCAAGCATGCCGGAGTGAACTAACTGTTTCCTGCAAAGCCCCACTCCCCTTTCGCTCCTCTTTTATTCCCTATTGGAGGGGCCATTCACCGTCCACCTGTGGCTTTACTCCCAAGTTGGCCCTTGTTCCTCAGCTCTTCCCTTCGTCTGGCAGCTCTGCGCATGTGCACATCAGAAACAGGCTCCAGCTGCTCTTCTTCCCCACTGATCTCTGACTCCGTAGGCAGCTGATAACTGTTCAACGGCCCTGGCCCTCTCTCTGCCTCCGACGCAGAGCCCTCGTCAGACCCTTCCCCGGACTCCAGGACTGGCCCAGGCTCCTCCCCAACCTCCTCCCTGTCCGAATCTGCTTCCAGCTCCACTGGCTGCTGTCAGGTCACAACAGGCAGGGGGCCTCTCTTTGGTCTCCCCCACCCAAAACCTTCCCTTTTCCTTTCTGCTCACATAGATCTACGACCTCTCGGTGGATGCCTTGAGCCCCACCTTCTACTTCCTGCTGCCCAGCTCCAAAATCCGGGACATCACCTTCCTCTTCAACGAAGAGAGCAAGAACATTGTGGTCATCATGTCTTCCGCGGGCTACATTTACCTGCAGCTCATGGAAGAGGCCAGCAGCGCCCAGCACGGCCCTTTCTACGTCACCAATGTCCTCGAAGTCGCCCACGAGGACCTGAAGGTATCCCACCCTGCCTCCTCCAGCCTCCTCCCTCCACGTGGCTACTGGCGCTGTACGGAAACTCTTCCTCCCCATTTAGAAACGGGGCTTCCTTGATTCGCGGACTTCACTTGCGTCGAAAGTGCTTTTTGTTTTGAAAAGGCAACTGGAGTGATTTTGAGGAGAAACGAGAAGTTTCGCTTCCTGTCCTCTAAGCTTCGTTGGTTTCTGTATTCCATCTCCCATAGCTTCCTGTAGAAACTGATGAAGCTTCCAGGGCAAAATGTCTCATTTTTTCCTCAAAATCATTCCGGTTGTCTATATATATATAAAAGCGAAATACCACTCATGTGTCATCCCAAAATCTCCAGAACCGTAAAGCCTACAAACTTGAAGTTTGGCACCTATGTTCCTCTTGTTTCTAGGTGCTCGCTAAGAAAGGATTTTTCGAAATGACCATCAGAGCTATTAGGATTCCATATATTATCATTAATACGCTCTGATGCTAAGGAGTTCTATTCCTCCTCCCCACCTGAAAAGAAATCTCTTCCAAATGCAAAACACAAGCGGAAGAGAGGAGTTTCCGTTTCAGTTTTAGCTTCTCAGCACCAAGCAGCTTTAGTACAGAACAGTTGAGCTAAGCCACCCCTCAGGCTCCTTGCTGTCTCCTTGCTCACACAGCAAATACTGTTTCACTTTCCAAACAGCCCTCAACTCTCTCACACACTGACAGGACGCTAGCCAGATGAATATTGATGGATGCTGGTAGGCAGAGGCAGGATTTTTTTCACCCTTATTTTCCTCCCCCCAAAACTAAGCCCGAACGCACCGTTCTGTGGCAAAGCACAGGCATCCAGCTGTTTCAAAATAAAAACCCCTTTTGAGAACAACTACGAGCTGGATGAACTGAGAGTCTTCGCAGACACTTCAGGGTCAGAGAAACGGTTTTGGGGGGAGCCCACCGGTGACCTCCTCTGCCTTTGTATCCCCAGCAGGACAGCAATGGCCAGGTGGCCGGGGGCGGAGTGTCCGTCTACTATTCCCACGTCCTGCAGATGCTTTTCTTCAGCTACTCGCAAGGCAAGTCCTTCGCCGCCACCATCAGCCGAGCAACCTTGGAGGTGCTACACCTCTTTCCCATCAACATCAAGAGGTGAGGCCTTTTCTCTCCCCCCTCCGCGAATCGGGATAGAGGCAGAAGAGCCAGGGATAATTTGGAATTGGGGTGGGTGGGGGCTTTGGAGAGGTCTTGCACAGGTACCGCTCGGCTTAACGACCACAACCGAAAACCACATTTCTGTCATTAAGCGAGGCATTTGTTCGTCCCATTTTCGCGACCTTCCTGGCCTCAGTTGATTTTTTTTTTATTGCATTGCATTTATTTTTAGTTATTGCATTGTATAAGCATTAAAAACATCGAACGCAGTGGGCTTCTTTGACGTTTCTCTCGGTACATTTTGCATTTAGAAAGATAAAGTATTACAATTATATGCATTTATTTACAGATATACATTTAAACTTCATAGTTTTTTAAAAAGATCCTTCTCATTATTCCTCAATTATGAGGTCCTTCACCTCTTCCCTATTTCACCTTAGGTTCTTATTTCAATTTTATGAACTCCCTTTCATGTCCCTCCAGAAGTAAAGTTTATTCCATATTTTGTGGTATTCTGACTGTCATCTTGGTCCTTCAGTTCTAATGTCAGCCTATCCATTTCAGCGCATTGTAATATCAATCATAACACCCTCACTAGGGATTTCACTTGCTTTCCAATTTTGGGCGAATATCATTCTTGCTGCTGTGATTAGATGTATAATTAAATAGGTATCAGTTTTGCTAAATTCCTCTTCTTTTATTCCCAGTAAGAACATCTCTGGTTTATAACAAACGTTTAGCCACGTCATTCCCTCTAGCCAAGTCCAAATTTTGTATCAGAATTCCTGAGCTTTTTTTACAGGGCCACCATACGTGAAAATAAGTGCCCCATCAGGGAGTGGAAGGCTGCCTTTGGAGATGGTGGAGGCTGGCAGCAGTGAGGAAGAGGCCCCCGAGGAGCCTGTGCTCAATGCGTGTGCGCGCAGGGCTGCTCGAAGGAAAGGGCAGCTGCAGCAGTACAGGCGACTCGGGAGTAAGGCTGCAAGGTGATGGCCCCTCCCTTAAGGGATAAAAGTCAGCTGAGAAACTGGAGTTCTTTGCAGGAAGCAAAGAAGTTTTTGCACTCAAGCCTTGTGGACATTCGTAGTATCTTGGAGACTCTTTGTGTTTGAAATATTTCTTGGCATCTTTATCTAGTGTTCTTGGCAGCCTTGCACCACCTTGGCAAGGCCCGTTCTTATCAGAGACACTTAGTTTGAAACCGCCTTTTAACCAGGAAGGAACAGGAATTCGTAAAGAATCATTAAAAGGTTTTGCTGTTACCTCCGTTTGGTGGTACAAGATTTGGGTCAGAACAGATGTAGCTAGTGTAATCTTTTTGTTTCGCTCCCAAACTTGCTGTTTGGCCTCGATTGTTAAGCGAGTCACCGCAGTGATCAGTTAGCAAGCCAGATGTTAAGTAGAATGTGCCTTCCCCTCGCCGACTGCATATCAGGAGGTCCTGTGACACCCCCCACCCCCAAGACTCTGCGACCATCTTAAATAAGGAACCAGTTGCAGAGGTCCTGAGTTGCTTTTTTTTCCAGTGAGGTCCTAACTTGGAATGGCTGCTAAACGAACCGTGGCAATTCGAGGACTCCCTGATGTCAGGCTTCCGGCAGTTCCCCTAATTTAAATCATGAGTCTCGAGCCAAACTTCCAAAACTTAAAGAAGATTTATTGGGAGTTAACATGTCCGGCACTGCCTGGGTGTAGCCAACTCTGAGACACATCGTTCATGGTCACCCTTGACCCTGGTTGTATCCCCACCCTCCATAATTCATATCCTCCAATGGGATGCATCCAGAGCCAAGAGTCATCAATCATGCTCTCCAGTTAGAACTTTGCCTGGCAGAAACTTCAGTCACCCAGTTACTATCTTTGAAAGCATTTGTGGAATGCACTTTAGGTTTGCAAGCTGCCGCACTGCCCCCCCCCCCCTTTTCTGCTGGTAACTCTAAAAAGACCAGAGAAATCTGAGTTGACACCTGAATCCTTTTTCAGGCCTTTCCCCGGAGTCTAAGCAAAACTGGCTCGTCGCTCTCACTTAACCCCTCCTTCCTTACAGCTCTAACGGGGGCAGCAAGACCTCCCCAGCCCTCTGCCAGTGGTCCGAAGTCATGAACCACCCCGGCCTTGTCTGTTGCGTCCAACAGACCACCGGCGTCCCTCTCGTCATGATGGTGAAGCCCGACACTTTCCTGATCCAGGAGATCAAGACCTTGCCGGCGAAAGCCAAGGTGAGTTGGGCCGGCCGGCCGGACTTTTGGGGTTGGGGGTGGTGGTCTCATCGGGGAGGTCAGCGGACGAGGGAGGGGCTCTAAAGCAGTTTGAAGACCCGCAGACAGGACCAGACCAAGTCACCGTGGAGCACCGAAGTGGCTCCTGAGTCGGGATCGGCAATGAAACGGCCCTGCTACGTATGCCGGCGGGTGGGGTGGACGCAGTGATGGGATTCAAGTTTTTTTTTACTACCAGCTCTACTACACGCGTTTTCCGAATAGTTTTTATCCCAGGGCTATAATTGCACTGAACAACGAACTTAAGGACCACCGTCAATGAGCCGCTGGACAGGATTACTTGGCCTGTTATGTGGATGTTTGTGTGTTTTTAGGAGGCGGGGAATTTTTGGCAGGTGGGGGGGGGTGTTTGGGGATTGTCGTGTGTGTGTGTGCATGTTGGGTCCGGTCTCTGGGTGTTATGTGAATTTTGTCGTATGTGTATATACTCTGTATACAATGACAACAAAGCATTATATTATTATTTTGTGGGCGTGGCCCTTCCCACCCCACTAGCCTGCTTTCCAGCTCCGTCCTCCTGTGCAGGGCAACCCAAGGAGACCCAGCCGATCCGCTGGGACTCGATGGGAGGCAGAGAAGAGATACGGGGTTGGTGGGGACAGTCAGAGGTGGTTCTTTTGCAGGTTCTCCAAACTACTCAAAATTTCCGCTACCAGTTCTCGAGAACCGGTCAAAACCGGCTGTATTACCGCCTCTGGGTGGAGGGCTTTGACTCGGGATGCAAAGCTTTGGTTCGCCTTGGGTGCCCAGAATGGCTGCTGAGCCCCCTTTGCTTGCCAGCCTTGTTCCTCAAGGTACGCGCTCACGCACGCGCATGCCCCCGAGGCGTCGACCCTGGTCCCTTTTCCTGCCCTTAGATCCAAGACATGGTGGCCATCCGGCACACGGCCTGCAACGAGCAGCAGCGCACGACCATGATCCTCCTCTGTGAGGACGGCAGCCTGCGGATCTACATGGCCAACGTGGAGAATACCTCCCACTGGCTCCAGCCCGCCCTGCAGCCCAGCAGCGTGGTCAGCATCATGAAGCCCGTCCGCAAACGCAAAGCGGCGGCCATCCGTAAGTCGCCGCCAGGTCAGGTTATGGCTACGGCGCTGGGCAGAAGGCGGTTTCTCCTCCTCCTTCCCTCTCTCCCTCTGTTTTGCTCCCTCCTTCCTCTCTTGCTCCCTCTCTCCCTCCTGTTCCTCTACCTTTCCCCTTCTTCCTTCCCTCCCTCCCTCTCTCTATTCCTCCCTTTTCTCCCTCTTCCTCCTCTTGCCTTCCTCCCTCTCTCCTTCCTTTATCCTCTTCTTCCTCCTCCTCCTTCTCTCCTGCTTTTCCTCTTCCACATCATCCCTCCTCCTCCTCTCTCCTCCCTCTTCTTCCTCTTCCCCTTCCTCCACCCCTCTGCTTCCTTCCTTTTCTTCCTTTCTCATCTTGCCTCCTCTTTCCTCCCTCCCTCCTTTTTCTTCCCTCCTTTTTCTTCCCTCCTACTATCTCCTCCCTCCCCACTTCCCTTTTCTTTCTCTTCCTCTTTCCTTCCTCTTTCCATCCCTTTTCTTTCTCTTCCTCCTTTGTCCTTCCTTCTTCCCTCCTCTTCCTTTCCCCCCCCTTCCTCCTCCTCTCTTTCCTCCCCTTTCTTCCTCCTCCTCTCTCATTCCTTCCTCTGTTTTTCTCTGTCACGTTACTTGACTCCCTTGTATCAGAATTCTCTGGTCACCACTATTTATACTGACCTGTCGTATTGTTTCCATGTTTTATATTTCCTATCGGCCAATCCTTTTGCACCCAAAGACCTTACAGTCCAAAACTGAGGATAGGGAAGGCAGTGAGAGTAATGAGGGAGGGAGGACCTGGGGAAAGACAGGTTTATATGTTGTAAACCAGGATTGCTGCCTGGCAGAGATTTGACCTGGGAAGAGGGGAAGTCTGAATTTCAGGAAAGGCCTCCCAGAGCAACCACAGCGGCTCCCCCGGTTTCAACCTCCGCTCAATGTCCCGCTTAATGTCCCGTTCTGTCGCTGCCCTCTCCCTCTAGCCACCCGCAGCTCCACCCAGGTGAATTTCCCCATCGACTTCTTCGAACACAACCAGCAGCTGACGGACGTGGAGTTCGGGGGCAACGACCTCCTGCAGGTCTACAACGCCCAGCAGATCAAGCACCGCCTCAACTCCACCGGCATGTACGTGGCCAACACCAAGGTAGGACCTGGCGGGGGTCAGCGGTGGCGAGGAAGCCCCTCGGCTGCCGGCAGAAGGAGAGGCCGAGCCCCTGGCCTTTCCTGCCTCTTGAGCCGTGCCTGTCCTTTCTCGGTAGCCCGGGGGCTTCACCCTCGAGGTGACCAACAACAACAGCACCATGGTGATGACCGGCATGAGGGTCCAGATCGGGACACAAGCCATCGAGAGAGCCCCTTCCTACCTGGAAGTCTTCGGCCGCACCTTGCAGCTCAACCTCAGCCGCCCCCGCTGGTTCGATTTCCCCTTTACTCGCGAGGAAGCCCTGCAAGCCGACAAGAAGCTGACCATTTTCAGTAAGAGCCCCGATTTTGGTTGTCTTTGCGGGTGCCGGTGTCAGACCTGCCCCGGTCAGATCCCTTAGGGAAGAAAGACCATCGACTCCGTTGGGCTGAATTGATCGGCTGCCGGCTTCAGTAAAGTGAGGCTAGAGCTAGATTTCCTGTGCGAAAAGATCACCGATTATTCCTCCCGTCCCAGGCCTCCCCCCCCATGACCCGTTTGTCTTCAGCTAGGGAAGAGCCCTTTCGGTATTGTGAGAATCTCTGGGACGTTTGAGGCCTCATCCACGTTCCAGTCTCAGGGTGCGCGGCCTTGAGGGCTGTCACAAACTGGTTTCTTGTTTCCCTGGTCTTTATCAAGCTGTCATTCCCCCTCCCCTCCCTATTCCTCATCACACCCCCATATATTCTTTTTGCCTGTTTATTCTCCTCCACCCCCCCTCCACCCCCCAGCCTTTGATGGCAGGATGCCAGCGAGGTGCCAAGCCGAAGGTGGCAACCTGACAGCAACAAAGTCTCGGGAGCTGGCGGGATGGGGGCGGGGTGTTCCCATTGCAAGGAGCTATAGTTTGTTGAATGGTGGCTTGTTGGTGGAGCTTCCGGATGCAGAGTGATAATCGTGGTTTATGAACCCGCAGCAGCCTTTGGAAAAGATGCCAAAAGGCCCCGCGGACTGAGGTGGTTGCCCAGTGGCAGATTGACCCCCCCCACACACACCTCCCTTCTTTTCCCAACTGCAGTCGGGGCCTCCGTGGACCCCGCCGGAGTCACCATGCTGGATGCCGTCAAGATCTACGGCAAGACCAAGGAGCAGTTTGGTTGGCCGGACGAACCTCCGGAGGAGTTCCCCTCGGCATCCGTGAGCAGCGTCTGCCCCCCAAATCTGAATCAGGGGAACGGGGCTGGAGACACAGAGTCGGCGACCCCTGCAGCTGTGGGCGGCACCGTCCTGGAGAGGTAAGTAATGGGCCGAAGGTTGGTTTTTAGATTCTGCACCTCTCCGTGGTCCATACTGGAAATCCATTCTAGCATATCCACTGTGCAGGGCGTTATTTCGCGCAGGAAATGTCCAACTTGGCAACTTTATGTCAGAGTGTTTGCAGCGCGGCTATTATTATGAGATAACCCAGGAGCAGAACACAGCACACAGACATTTAACAACAGTGGGTTTATATACCACAATTATATACAGAAATATATGTGGTAGGCAATATACCTTACAAGCAATCTTGCTTCTTCTCTACACAGAGAATTCTGAAACTCTGCAATGAATACTAGGCCCAAGGAGAGGAGAAGCCCTCTAATGGCTGCCTTTATATAAACACCTCTTAAAGGGGCAGAGCACATCCCCAGACTTAAAGGGAAATACCCGTGCTATGCTGATTCACTTTTATTGCATCATCCTATATGGCATCAGCTTCACTGCTGGTCGGCTCTTCAATCCCAAGACCTTAACTTTCAACTCTCAGAATTCTGGGAGTTGAAATCCACAAGTCTTAAAAGTTGCCAAGGTTGGACGTTCCCTTGTTTAGCAACTTCCAAATCCTGCAACCCCTTTTCTCATCCTGTCTTTGCCCCGTGTGTTTTGGAGAGGCAGGGGCCAGGCAGTTTATGCTCGGCCTACTCTCTGTCAAGAATACATCATCCACCTGCTGGTTGTAGTTCCTTTGTTCCCCCTCCCTCCCCTTTAAGTTCTCTCTTTGCTTTTTTACGCTTCCCTTGTTCGTTCCCTCCTCAGCTTGTTCTCCAGGGCAGTTTTGTGTCAGTTTTCCATCAGTTACCCCCATTTAAATCATCATGGAGTCTCGAGCCAGACTTTCAAAACTTCAAGAGGATTTATCGGGAGTTAGCATGTCTGGCACTGCCTGGGTGTAGCCGACTCTGAGGCACATAATTCATGGTCACTCTTGACCCTGGTTTGCCCCCACCTCCTAGGTGTATCGTAATTCATATTCTCCAATGGGACACGCCCATAGCCAGGAATCATCAGTCACGTTCTCCAGTTAGAATTTTGCCTGCAGAAACTTCGGTCACCTGGTTGCTATCTTTGAAAAACTATTTATAGAATGCGTTTTTTATTTCCAAGCTGCCTCACTGCTCTTTCAGAACCCCTTTCCTCCCCCGTCCCTTTCCGTTGGCACCTCTAAAAACACCGTAGAAATATTTTATGAGTTGACATTTTGAGGCAAAGAATTCTTGAGTCAGGAAAAGGTAAACTCCAATGCGGGAGGAAGTTCGCTGGCTTGGGTTTTGCTCTTGTGTTTAATGGAAAGAGACGAGGAAAGGAAGGGAGCGATTCCAGAAGAAAAGGACACGTGCAGAGCTGAGGTGGAGACCCCCCCCCCCTTTAACTCCAGTGGGTTTCTTTTCAAAGCAGAGTTATCTCTTGTCTTGCATGTGCAAATATCCCTCGTTTGCCTGTACAAAAACGGTCATCCCTGGGGCCCTGGAAAATTGCTACTCAACGTGCTGGAGATGCACCTTTCCTTGAAAATTTTCCCAGTGTTTCTGGAAAGTATTTTTCTGGGTCATCCCATCTCATGCACCTTCTATTGGGCAGCACCAGCTTTGGAACTCTTTACCGCTGGAGATTTTCAAAGGAGGAGGAGGTGGTGGTGGAGGAGGACTTAATAGCATTTGAGGGCTCCAAAAATTCAGTGTGACCCAGAACCTGATTTTTCCTGGGTCTTTCTCTCTTGCCAAGGTTGTGGTGCAGAGGGCTCATGGCAGGATTCCAGTGCCACACCCAGAGGATCTGACTTGGCATTTGTCTGGCAGATGTGATCTTCGACAGCTTGTGCCTGGGGTCCAGGACTGGATCTGCCACTTGTCCCCACTCCTTCCCACTGCAGCCGATTTTGGTCACCATGCTACAAAAAAAAGATGTTGAGATTTTGGAACAAGTTCAGAAAAGAGCGACTAAGATGATCAAAGGCCTGGAGACAAAAACATATAAATACTTAGATTGATTGATTGATAGATAGATAGATAGATAGATAGATAGATAGATAGATAGATAGATAGAAGATAGATGATAGATAGATAGATAGATAGATAGATAGATAGATAGATAGATAGATAGATAGAAGATAGATGATAGATAGATAGATAGATAGATAGATAGATAGATAGATAGATGATAGATAGATAGATAGATAGATAGATAGATAGATAGATAGATAGAATTCTTTATTGGCCAAGTGTGATTGGACACACAAGGAATTTGTCTTGGTGCAAATGCTCTCAGTGTACATAAAATAAAAGATTCAAGAGTCAATAATCATGAGGTACAACGCTTAATAATAGTCACAGGGGACAATATGAAGAACGGCTACAGGATTTGGGCTTGGCAAGTCTAATGAAGGATGGGGGTGGGTGGGACATGGTAGCAGTCTTCCAGTCTTTGAGGGACTGCCCCAAAGAAGAGGGAGTCAAGCTATTCTCCAAAGCACCAGAAGGCAGGACAAGAAACAATGGAGGGAAACTGATCAAGGAGAGAAGCAACCTGGAATTTAGGAGAAACTTCCAAACAGGGAGGACAGTTAACCAGTGGAACAGCTGGCCACCAGAAGTTGTGAGTGCTTCATCACTGGAGGTTTTTAAGAAGAGATTGGACAGCCACTTGTCTGAGATTGTATAGGTTCTCCTGCTTGAGCAGGGGGCTGGACTAGAAGACCTCCAAGGTCCCTTCTAGCTCATTCATTCTAATTCTATTTCGTTTCTGTGCCACCCATCTCTCCCCTCCATTGGGGATTCTGGGCAGCATCCTTAGCTGGTGCCATCCAGACCCCTTTGATAGTGTCAGAGTCTAGCTGCGCTTTTCCTTGGAAGCTGAATTCTTACGAGCTGAAATTCTACAGTCGGCTCTGTTTTGCACCGTGGGACAGGAAATCTCGCTCATTTGCAAGGATCAGGGGCCTCAGTTTTAACTCTCAGGAAATTGTCGACTGATTAGAATTCAGCTGTCCGAGCCCAGTAACATTCAGCTGTTGCTTTAAATCCATACAGTCTGGAGAGGTGTGGGATTCAAATTTTTAACAACCGGTTCTGTGGGCGTGGCTTAGGTGGTGGGCATGGCTTGGTGGTCATGTGACTGGGTGGACATGGCTTGGTGGTCATGTTATTGGCTGGGCGTGGCTAACCAATATCACTCACATCGAGGCACGCATCTCCTCGCCTGGCCTTTCATGACTGTGGGGATGCTGCAACAGTCGTAAATGTGAAAAATGGTCATAAGTCATTTTTTTCAGTGCCATTGTAACTTTGAATGGTCCCTCCACACAAACAAACTACCAGCAAAGGAGGGGGGAAAACCTCCAGAGAAGTTCCAGAGACAGGAAGTCTAGTCCTGCCAAGAATGTAATAAGGGTTAATGGAGAGGCAGTTTCTGTAAGCAACACCAGAATGTTTCCTTCCTGCCTTCCTTACAGGATTAGCCCAGTAATTTATTCTAACACCCGGTTCTCCAAACTGCTTAGAATGTTAACAACCGGTTCTAGTGAATAGTGGAATCCCACCCCTGGTCTCCAGCCTTTAATCTCCTTAGTTGCTCTTATCTGCGCTTTTTCCAAAGCCTCAACATCTTTTTTGTAATGGGGTGACCAAAAATGGATGCAGTACTCCAGGCATGGCCTTACTTAGGATGTATAAAGCAGTACTAAGTCTGGATCTTTGGAGGCAAGGGAAAGAAAGTGGGATTCTCAGGAAGCCAAGACCTCAGCCTTCTATAGGGTCCCTGCAGCCTCCTGGGGGATCGAGCAAGGTTTGTGTGGATTGGCGGCGTCTTCCAGCCCCCTGCACAGCTTCCCCCTCGGAGGAGAGCAGGGGTGTCAAACTCAATTTCATTGAGGGCTGCATCAGGGCTTGGGGGGGGGGGGGGGCATGGCCATTTGATGTCACTCATCGAGGCTCTGTTTTCGGCCATGACAGCCTCCCGCAGCCTCCCCTAGGCTCCGTTTTCGACGGCAGAGGGCTGGAGGCCGTCACGGCCAAAAATGGAGCCTGGAGAAGGTTGTGTGCAGCCTTCTTGAGCTCCGTTTTCCCTGGCAGAGTCACCGCGGGCCGGTCCTTCACTGTTTTCAGGGTGGCCCCTGGGCTGGATCCAGCCCCCGAGGCTTGAATTTGACACCATTGGCCTAGAGGCTTCTTCTTGCTTTTGTTGACGAAGGAATCGGAGCCATTCTCCCTTCTATTTGGGTCCGGCTTTGCTCACGTGCCTCCCCTTCCCTCCCTTTCACCCCAGTTCCCAGCTCCAATTGAGTTTGCTGACTTGACTCCCTCTGTTGAGTTGCTCTTAGGATGTTGTTTTTTTTCTCAATTCTGGTTCTGTGTGCTTCGTATTTTTTCATTTATATCTACCTATATTATTTTTCTCCCCCGTTTTCCTTTCGCTCCCCCCAAAAGTCCTGACACTGAATCCTTAACCACCCTGGACCGGTTAGTATCTTGCCTCTCTCTGCACGAATGGTTTTGTGTGACAGAGGTGGCTGTCCATTGCTTCCATCCTATTGGCTGTTTTTATTTTTTATTTTTTCACCCTTGTCCATGTGTTCATACATCCGGTCGGGGGTTTTTTAAATCATTAATCTCCTCTGCGCTGCTTAATAACGGAGTCCCTTGCATGGCGGATTTAAGTCAGCGAAAAGAGAAAGCCAAAATAATTCAACTCAGCCGGTCATTTTCTTGCTTGGCTTCCTTCTGGTTCTCTCTGCTTCTAACTAACTGTTGCCTGCAGTCTAAGCAAAAAAAAAAAAAAAAAATGAAGGGCAGAGATTGACCAGCTTTTGAAAAGGGTGAGATGGCGTGATCCTTCAACATGCCTGCGTGTTGTGTGAAGGAAGTCCCTGAGTTGCCCCCCAAGGGACATGCTAGCTCTGTTTCACTGGCTCACAGCCTTCCTGGTTTTTCTAACTTACCCTGTTTCCCCGAAAATACGACCTACCCTGAAAGTAAGTCCTAGCTTGATTGTTACTCATGTGCCCAGTATAAGCCCTATCCCTAAAATAAGCCCTAATTAAGATCTCGCCAACTCCCGAGTGGACAGGTAAAAATTAAGCTAAGGTGAGGATGTGGAGGGTGGAGCTGCCCTACTGCTTACCTTTGGACAGTTGTAGCCAGGCCTCACACACCCCGACGCCTGCATCACTGACCCATTTCTTCTGCAGCCAGCAAGGTTGGCAAGGCTTTCCTGAAGGCCTCTTGTAGCTGATAACAAAGCTCTGGATCGATCCAGAGCTCTTGTTATCGGCTGCAGAGGCCTTCAGGAAAGCCTTGCCAGCCGCAGAAGAAATAGTTCCTGAAGGCCTCTGACAGCGAAAAGGAGGCCAGGGGCGATGAACACAAGTGAGGTTAGTCAGTGGATGACATCCCCCGAAAATAAGACCTAATGCCTTTTTGGTGGCAAAAAAATGACAAGACAGGTCTTATTTTGGGGGCAACGCGGTAGAAGAAGTTCCCTCTTTGTAAGTTGTTTTTCATAGCTTGTTTCAGATGCTAGATGAAGAAAGTTTGAGCCTCTTGAACAGGGAATTCACTAAACTGCTTGTTGGGTCTGTTCTGGCTTTCTTTCTTTTTTTCCGGTTCCCCTCTTTTGGAGCTCTCTTTCCTGGTTGATATGTACAGTGAAAACCGGAAGGGATGAGCTCAAAATTGAAATGCTGTAGATAAAAGACACAACCATTGTTCCAAAGGAAAAGAAACCATTCCAGAAGGAGGCTCAACTGTTGTATTCTTTAAAAAAAAAAAAATCCATTCCTCTCGGCAGCCTAAACGAACAGACTTGGCGATGTGGCAGAGAAGAGATCTGTGTTAAATAAGTGGAATATCTACAGAGATTTTCCACCATCCAGGTCATGGAAAAACTTGGGTTTTCCCCCTCAAAAACGTTTTGCTTCTCACCCCAGTTAAGTCCATCTTAGTTTAACTCAGAACTGAAGAAGCTCCTTGGATGAGAAGCAAAGCATTTTCAAAGGGGAAAAAAAAACCCAAGGATGTCCAGTTGCCGTTTGAAAACCACCTTTGGGAACAATAAGCGGAGGAGCAAATGAGACCTAGATTGTTGTGGGTACCTTTATCCCTCTGCGCAAAAGTAGAGTCCAGAGATCAGCCTGAACTTTTGATCGCTTGGAAGACTTTGGAGTAGCTCAGCCAGAGTCGTCGTGTGTCTCTCTCGCCTGTCATGCATCATTAAGTCAGCCTGGATTTAATAAGAGCAAGGAAGCCCCATTAATAGATAGTGGGGATTCTGTTGATGTAATATATATCCGCAGGCATCATCCAGGCAATGTGTCTTTTCTTTGAATAAAACAAGCTTCCTGAAAGTAACTCATCTTCACCGCTATCATGGGGATGAGCCGTGGTGGTGCAGTGGTTAGAGTGCAGTACTGCAGGCGACTTCTGCTGACTGCTGGCTGCCTGCAATTTGGCAGTTGGAATCCCACCAGGCTCAAGGTTGACTCCGCCTTCCATCCTTCCAAGGCCAGTAAAATAAGGGCCCAGATGGTTGGGGGCAAGAGGCTGATTCTGTAAAAACCCCTTAGAGGGGGCTATAAAGGGACTGTGGAAGCGGTATATAAATCTAAGCGCTGTTGCTATTGCTCTCCCCCCATCAGGGACTTCAGGGGTCTGACCTGGCCAGAGGTGTGCCCTGAGTTTTTCCGAACACGAGCCCAAGATTGCCTTAGACCTGCATGGCGCCTGGAGCAGCTCCTTCCTTTGCTTCGATTCTTTTCTCTGCGCTGGGGCAGGAGGGTGGGGAGGGGGAGGAAGGAAGGGGGAGGGAGACAGAGCGAAGGGTTTGGCATCCCTACCTGCTCCCCGCCTTCTTTTTGAGCCATCGTGTGTGTGTGTGTGTCTTGTGTCGAGTCTTCAGGAGCCTTTTCTGACCTTGTCTTTCCTCCTTGTCTTTTCCTCCTGCAGGCTAGTAGTGAGTTCTTTGGAAGCCCTGGAAAGCTGGTTTGCCGTCGGGCCACTCAACGAGAAGGCAAGTTCCTTTGCTGGGTGGGTGGGTGTTGGTCGGTGTTTGTGGGGAGGTTGGGGGAAGAGAATGGAGATGCCTCAAAGCCTCGGGGGAGCTCACAGTTCCTGACTTCTCAGACCGCTGTGCTGAATCAGAGATTGTCTGGAAATGAGCCGCTGTCTGACCTGAGATTGTTCGCCCTCAGGAGAAGACCAAGGCTGCTACGCAGGAGTTGGCCACCATGTTGCTCTCCACACCGGCCCCTTCTAGCGTCCAGCAGCAAACCAAGAGCCTTCTGGCCAGCCTCCACGCCAGCCGCTCAGCTTACCACAACCACAAGGTAAGCAAGCCAGGTTCCTTCCTGGCGCAGCATCCCAGATCCCTCCGTTAGCCACCCTGCGGAGTCCCAGGGGAATCTGGAAAACTCTCAGCAAAGTCTTGCCTCAGTTTCTCCATGGGCAGCTGGACTTCCTGCTTTTCCTTTGAAGACAATTTACTGTAAGGCACCCAGAAAGTATCCATGCTATCAATCACTCCGAGACATCTTCTCTCCAATTGATTTACTTAGAAACAGATCTGGCATGTCAAAGGCAATTTCCCAAGTGAAATTATTTTCGGGCGTTACACAGAATCCACCTCTCTTTCCTCCCACTTCTACACTTCATAAATCTCCAGAACCAATTAACTGCCCCTGGAATTTCTTAGTAGGACATACAGAATGACCATGAACTTTTCAACTCTTCCAACTCTCTTTAAAAAAAAAAAAAACGTGGCAGCTGAATTTTTAAAGGTGACATTCGCTTCTCCAGCTCTGTGGGAATCCGTTCATACTCCCCCGTGTCATTTGAAGGATGTTCATCCCGAAGTGCATAGCTAAATGTCCGTGGAGATGCTCAATCATCCAGGTCATGGCTGTCCCAGAGGTGCTTTTTTTTTCCTCCACGAGGCAGCTGGGTTTTCTTTGAAGACATTTCACTGCTCATCCAAGAAGCTTCTTCATCTCTGGAGTTGCCTCTTGAAAAAGCACCTTTGGGGCCTGGAGGACCGAGAATCTCCGTAGACGTGTACTGATAGACCCACACAGGCGCAGAAGAAACAAAACCAGCGCGAGAAAACAGGACAGTTAATTTCCCCTCTTCCCCTTGTGGGGCACCCATTATCCAACCGCAGGGCCTTGAAATGTCAGGATTTTCTCGGGCTGCCAACTTCTCCCATACATTCCTTGCCTCCTTCCCAGCTCCCAAAATATTCCAAGCTTTTCCCCCTCCCTCCCTACGTTTTTGTGGCCAAGTTGAGAGTAGAGGTGCATTGAGGCACCCCTGCTGGCGTTGGGGTGTTGTCCTGTGGGGGTAATTGTGGGGAAGGGGGATTCTGATTCAGCTCTTTCCTTTGGCACGGTCTGCCTCCCACAGGATCAGGCCCTGCTGAGCAAAGCCATCCAGTACCTCACCACCTCGAACAAAGAAGGGAAGGACCTGGAACCAGAGGTCTTTCAAAGGCTGGTCATCACCGCCCGCTCCATCGCCATCATGCGGCCGAACAACCTGGTGCATTTCACAGAGTCGAAATTTCCGTCTCTGGAAACAGGTAGGGCGAAACGGTTCAGAGTATTGCAGTGTAAATTCAGCGCCAGAAAAGTAAACACAGATGGCCGAGGCTCTATTTAGCTTCTTTATAAACATATAAAGTAAATTTCACAATACCAGTTGTAGATTTCTCCAACAGGGAGCGAACTCAAACAGAAGCAGACATGTTACAGGTTCGACAGCAACTCAGGAGCGCAGAAACAGACCCCAGTTTCACTTCAGTTCAGCAAGCAAGCAAGCTCTTTCGCTCTAGAGCTGAGCACAGAACAGAGATTAACATCGCTGCAGAGCTTAATATAGAGATAATATAGATTTCAGTTTCCAAACAGTCCTCATTGGCTGACTTAGTCGCTGTGCCTATTCATTGGCTGACCTGGTGACCGTGCTCTTATTCCGGTTCATGCCTATACTCTTGACAGAAGTTCCTTCTTTGCCTTGTACACAAATCCCCACACAGCCAGCTCTTTTTTTTTCCTCTCCTGTGTTATTTTTCTTCCGGTGCCGTTGTTTCATTTCTTTTGAGGACAGGGGGCGGGGCGGGGTGGACGGGCTTCCAACCAGCAAAAAAAAAAAAAAGGCCTTCCTTGAAACTTGCAGAAAGCATCGAAGAAGGGCAGGAGGCTGCGAGGGCCACCGTGGAAGGAGAAGGGTGCAGTTTTATTACCCAGCTGGTCAACCATTTCTGGAAACTTCACGCCTCAAAGCCCAAGAACGCCTTCCTGGCGCCTGCTTGCTTGCCAGGTGGGTCCCGTCTTCCCCCAAGCGGGGATCCAACTTGGCTGCCGGGGCAGGAGCCGCGTGGAGCGTTCCCATGCCAGGCACACGGCCTCTTGCCGGGCTTCCTGCCCAAAATATTCGGCCAGCTGAACCGTTCGTGCTGCCTCCTGTCTCTGGACCCCGTAGTGGACCCCCTCCTCCCAGCTGCCCTCTTTCCTTCCTTCCTTCCTTCCTTCCTTCCTTCCTTCCTTCCTTCCTTC